AGGGTTATCAGCACATTTAACGTGATGCCAATTAGAAATACTCGTTAATGTGCTTATTTCAGCAACGCGATTTGCAACGAAAACGTTCCAGGTACTTGGCGATGATGCTAACCAAGATAACACTATTGATGAATCTGTCCACATATACTGCGTTGTTATGTTTAGATTTATTGTAGGTAATAATTTGTGTATTAAGCGGGCTAATAGCACGGCTGCGCAAAGTTCTAGTCGAGGCAGTGTGATAGTTTTTAATGGAGAAACACGTGATCGTGCGCATAATAATTCTGTTTTGTACGAATTTGTGTTTAAGTCCAACGTTCGGATATAAACACAGGCACCATAAGCCGACATGGACGCATCGCAAAATCCATGAATTTCGACGTTATTGTATTGATTTGATACAACCTTTCTAGGTATTTGTAGTGTGTTTAATATGGGTAATTCTTGTTCAAGTTTAAGCCACGTTTGTCGTATATCTTCCGGTAAAGGATCATCCCAGTCGAGTTTAATGAGCCACAACTTTTGAATTAAGATTTTTCCCAAAACAAGGACGGGTGACAAGAGACCTAGAATATCATAAATTCTCGCGATTTTTGATAAGATGGATCGTTTAGTAGTATTTTCCACGGGCTTTGTTTCCACGACATATTTTAAACAGTCCGTTTTGCAATTCCACGTTGAACCTAGTGTTTTGACCTCGTCGTTATGGTCTAATTTAACTACATCGTTATTTTGACTACAATTGGGCAAAATGTCCGGACAATTAGATGCCCACTTTTGTAATTGAAAACCACCCCTATTTAAGGCGCCAATTAATTGATTGGGTAATTCTATGGCTTCTTTGACTGAATTAGTACCCGTAAGCAAGTCATCAACATAGAAATCGCGTAAGATAATTGTCGAGGCTAGAGGAAAATCGAGTTGTTCATCGATGGCTAATTTTTGTAAACATTTGATAGCTAAGTATGGGGCACACGCGGTACCATACGTTACGGTCTGTAACTCATATACCTCAACTGGTTTGTCACTACTCTTGCGCCAAAAAATCCTTTGGTAAGGTGTATCTGAAGGATCGACCCATATTTGACGATACATTTTTACTACGTCGCTACTGAATGCGAATTGGTAGGTCCGAAAGCGCGTAATGATTGAAAACAAGTCTTGTTGAATAGTTGGACCTACCATTAGAATATTGTTTAAGCTGACACCCGTACTTGTTTTGCAGCTTCCGTCAAACACCACACGCACTCGGGTGGTAGTACTCGAACTCTTTATCACCGCGTGATGTGGAAAAAAATATAATTGTTTAGTGTGAAAATCAGATTCACCTGTAACTAATTTCATGTGACCTAGAGCTAAATATTCGTCTAGAAAGTTTGTATAATCGGCTTTAAGAGAATTATTTTTGTTCAAACGAGTTTCTAGTGCCATAAAACGTTTTAGGGCGGTTACATCGGAAAACCCCAGCGTGGCAATATCTTTCTTAAAGGGTAGGCGTACCATAAACCGACCGTTAATATCTCTTTTGACCGTTTCTGAGAAATGCCGTTCGCAGGTAAGTTCTTCCACGGAAAAGGAATTACTGGTGTTTACAGCTGTTTCTTCTAATTCCCAAAATTTATGAATTTCTTTGTTTAGCATATCTTGGGGATTTGCGTTTGAAATACAGGCGACAATATTGTTCTGCGAAGGACCGGAAATTTTACCTGTTAAGACCCATCCGAAAACGGACTCACGAAGGAATACTTGATTATTAAATATGTTAATTTGACCGTTACAAATTACTTGCCAAAAGTACTCTGCACCTAACAAAAGATCAACGGTACAGGGTTCATTAAAATTAGGATCTGCTAAATTAATATTTATGGGTATATTGAACTGAGATTTTGAAAAGAATTGGCATGGATATTTTGATGTGATGTTAGGCAATACTAAACAATTGAGATTGTAAAGAGTTGGATTAAAACGAGATTTTATGGTTACCCTAGTCGAATTTTTAACTGGTGTTTCGATTTCGCCTACTCCACTAATCGGGAATTCGATTGATTGTAATTTAAGTCCCAATTTTTGACATAAACTCGTACTGATTAAATTGCTTTGTGAACATGAATCAAATATAATTCTGCAATCTTGATAATTTCCGAAAGCATCTGCAATTTTAACCACTGCTGTTGCAAGAAGTACAGTGGTGTTGTTCATATGTGACACTGAAAATGACAAATTGCTTGTCGATTGTTCAGGTATATGAAGCAGTGTGTGATGTCGTAAGTGACATTTTTTGCAAGTATTAGTCGATTTACAATTTGACACAATGTGATTAGATTTTAAACAATTCGTACATGATTTGACCTTGTTAATATGAGAGAGGCGTTGTTCTACTGAAAGATTTACGAATTCTGTACATTGAAATATTAAATGCAATTCTGACTTGCAGTAATTACACCTAAGGATGTTTTTGTTAATAGTTTGTACCAAAATACGTTGTTTTGTTGTAGACTCGCGCTGACAGTTTTTATTGAAATTATTATTATGTTTATTAAGATCTATGCTATGTGTTTTGTTTACTGATATTTGTTGCATTGATTCCAAAAGTTCGCAACGTTTTTCTAAAAATGAAATCAGATCCGTCAATTTTGGTATTTCACTATTTAATGTTGCCTGCCATTCTTTACGACTTGTATAGTCTAGTTTTTCTACAATTAATGGAACAATTAATGCATCCCAACTTTCTACGGGTAAATTTTGTATGCGAAGTGCTTCAATGTTTGTCGTAACGTCGACACATAATTTTCTCAGAGCTACAGAATTTGTTTTAAGGATAACAGGACTATTAATGATAGCTAAAATATGTTCTTGAGTAATTAGTCTTACGTTATTGTATCTTTTTCTTAACAAGTCATAGGCCGATTTGTAATTATCTGCCGAAATAGTGAGAGCGTCAATTGTCGCTAACGCTTCTCCCTTCAATGAGGATTTTAAATAGTGAAATTTTTGGCAGTTATTTAAACTATTGTTCTGATCAATTAACGAGCAAAATATGTCGTTGAATGACAGCCATTCCGAATATGAACCTGAAAATGTTGGTAAATTTAACGTAGGAAGTTTGATGGACGTTTCTAAGTGATGATTATTGTTAGGATTACTATTATTTTGACTAGACGCCGATGAAGGTGAGTATTTATTTAATTTTTCTCGAATGTCAACTATTATGTTGTAATACTGTGTCTCGATAATTTCGCGATCGTTATCTGCGTTGTCTTGCAACTCAATTTGAGTTTGATAACTTTCGTATTCTTTGATCACGTTTTCTAATGTTTCTAACCGTACTTCAAGGTGATAAACGTTATCTGTATTTTTGAAATTTTTAACGAAGTTCTCAATGCGAGTTATTTTGGATTTAGCGATTCCTCGCCTGGAGCGTAATTCGGCTACCGTTTCTACAGGCATTTTAATGAAATAAATGGGATTTTTTGAATCGAATTATGCGTTATTGATATACGAGAACGCGGTACACGCAGATTGGCGCAGATTGAAATAAATATGCATACAGGGTAATAGGACTTACTTGGATTGTAGATTTGATGTTTCTTGATTCGATGATTTGTTTGATCGCTGTTCTATCGGGCTCGTAGGACCAAATTCGATGATTTGTTTGATCGCTGTTTCATCCGGCTCGAAGGACCAAATGTGGCGTCGCGCCGCAGGCTGTTCGAAGGACCGTATAACCGTGTCGTACACGGTACGAACACGGCAAGAAAAGAGTGTTGTTTTATAACTATATATTAATAGTGTGTAAATGTATGTACAGTTTGTCGACCGATCGCGTGTACTGCGAGGTGCGTTCTGTCTGGGTCCGTACCACCCCGGTGCCGTCGAAGGGTGGGTGGTGGTGTTGTACCGCTCTTGTGCCGTCGAAGGGTGGGTGGTGGGGTTGTACCGCTCTTGTGCAGGGCTGTACTGCGCAAAGCCTAATTCGCCACTTGAAATAGTAAAATTCAGTCTTCGTCTAATCAAAAACACCAATGAAGTTCAAAAGCGGTGGTGGGTGGGATTAATTTTACGTTTTTTCTCTAGATCTCATTGCTTTTATCATTATAAAATTTTCCTTTTGTCCAATAGAGTGAGTGATGAGGAGGAAAACTGGGTGGGTCGGCGGGACCACTTTGAATTTAGATTCGACCGCTTGACAAAATCAAAATCAGTTTTCATCTAATCAAAAAACCAATGCAATTCAAAGGCGAACGTGGGCCTTTGTCTAAATTCCAATGATCATCAGTGTAAAATCCCCTTTTTGTCCAATAAAATGATTGATCAGACAGAAAACCGGGTGGGTGGGCGGGGCCATTTTGATTTTGAATATTGTAAGAGTTCGTTAGCCGACTCCCTACTTTTACGTTTTCTTGACCTTTCATGACCCCTAGAGTACGGAGAGATAGGTCTCCTTTTTTCATCCGTCTGTCTGTCTGCCGTCACAGATTTTTATCGGACAGATAATTTCTGAAATTACTGGGTCGTTTGTTGTCAAATTTTATATTTATATTAGGAATATCATGTATGTCATTTGCCAAAATCGGTCTTATTTTAGCAGCTCCTAACCCCGCCCACCCACCCTCTCTTTTCTTAGATGGTATGTCATTTGCCAAAATCAGTTTTATATTAGAAGGTACTAGCCCCGCCCACCCGCCCTCTCTTTTCTTAGAGGATACCTGATGTGCCAAAATGAATCTTATCTCAGCAGCCACTAGCCCCACCCACCCACCCTTTCTTTTCTTAGGGTATGTCATTTGCCAAAATTAGTTTTATCTTAGCAAGTACTGACGACTAACTTTTACAAAAAATGATCAAAATTTGGAAAACCTTACGAACCATTGTCCTAAAAAAAATAAAAGGTGGATTTTTTTCGTAATCTACATCAAAGATTTTTTGTAATAATTTTGTGGGACTCCCGAAACTCCCGTACATAACGTACTGAAAATTATCTTTACTTTTACCCATACTAGATCTCATGAGAGACCCAATCCTTCAAGAAAAGCGCCAGGAGCACGTCACTTTCCAAAAATACGCCTTAGAATTACTAGAACGCTTGTCAGGTAAAACAAAACACAGAGGAAACGACCTGGAGGTGTCTCTCGCCAACATCCACCGGGTAAGATTCCCGAATTTGTTCCCTCTTTCACTCTAACCTCACTCTTCCAGGCGAACGTTGTAGCCCAAACCAAAATACTGTTCAACGACAGACAACTCCTCCAACTAATCCACCAGCATTTAATAACCAAAGGTTACCCCGACACTGCCGCCATGTTAGTAAAAGAAGCCAACCTAGGCAACGCGATCACTCAGGTGTCAACGCACCAACCAACCAAATTTAGATACTCAACAACCCTCACCCCATCTCGAGTAAGTCCCGTTCTACCACCCCCACATTTGTTCCACTCTGTACCCACGTGACACATAGTTTAAACTAACATTATCTGGATCGCAGCACCGGAGTTTGCCGTCACCGGTCATCCAGAAGGAGGAAACCACCACCATCATCAACGGAACCAACAGCAACTCGCCAGCCATTAAACTAATAAAGTAATTTAGACAAACCTGGCGAACAACGACGATTATTGTGGTTAAATTTCCAGGAAAACCCCTCAGAGTTTGATTTCTTCAACCCCGGTCCAGAATTCCAGATTACAGAAACAGACGAACAGCGATTTGGTGGTTCGAGTGCCGTCTCAGACCATGTTGGAGGAGCTGACGAGTCCCGTCGAACAACCACGAGTCACTTTGGACTCGATTATTACCGAGTATCTGACCAATCAGCACGCTCTGTGCAAGAACCCGATGGCCAACTGCCCCAAGTTCAATCTTTTCATGTAAGATGAGTTTTTTTGTGGTGGGTGAGTTGTAACTGTGTCATTTTCAGCCCCCATAAGTGTCCAGACCCCAAGCCAAAGATAGCGTCGGCCAATAATTTTGTAGTGAGGTGTGCGCGACGCGCAATCGGTTATCAGTGCAAATCGATGAACAGGAAATTTATTCATTCGAGGTTTTGTCCGGTTCAGACTATTCGGTCATCGTCAGACGGTGATTTCTTCACGTGCGCGAAATTTTTACCGGGTGATAAAAGTATCGTGGTGGGTGATTATAGTGGTGATATTCGAATTTTTAATTTGCATAGTGGAAACGAGGAGCATATGTTTCAAACTCATGATAATTATATTGTGCATTTGGAGCCTAATAGGAGTGGGGAGTTTTTGTTGACGAGCTCGACGTGGGGGAGACCTCGGTCGGCCTTGTGGGGAATTAGAGGATCTGAAATGAAGTAAGTTGTCGCAGTGAACGTAAAATCCGATCGAGTCCATTATTAATTTTTAAATAAATAATTTTAATAATTATTACAGATTCGCTTTAGATGACGAAGAACACGTAGAATTCAGTAAAGTGAATCAAGACAGAATCGTAGCAACAAAACTAGAAGTTGCAAACGTAAGTACCCCCCCCCACCACCACAATTCCACCCAAATAAAACTAAGTCATTACTCAGATCTACGACGCGAATACCGGCCAATCAATCACGAGATTAGTTCCTACTGTAAGCAACCAATACACCAGAAACAAAGCCACTTTTAGCCCCTTCGACGACTTAGTTCTCTCAGACGGCGTCCTCTTCGACGTCGCATCAGGCAAACAAATCCACAAACTAGATAAATTAAACCAAACTCAAAGTGGCGTTTTCCATCCCAACGGCTTAGAGGTATACTAACCTCCCAACTCCAACCCCTCACTTACTAATATATTTTTTTTTATCTAGATTGTGTCAAACACTGAAGTTTGGGATGTCCGTACTTTCCACCTCCTCAAAACCGTACCGGTTCTAAACCAACGCAGTGCAATTTTTTCGCCCGTCAACAGTGCAATTTACGCCATTTCCATGGAGCAAGAACTGGATGATGGAGACTCTACTTTCGATTCTAGTTTTAAAACCGTCGATGCGATGGATTACTCGAGCATTGCCACCATCGACGTAAAAAAGAATATTTATGATCTTGCTGTCAACCGGTTCGACACTCAGATCGTTATTGTCGAGAACCAGGGAGTGTATCAGTCTGTGCAGGAGTCCGTCGTCCGAATATACGATGTGGGGAGGAAGAGGGATGATGAGGACGAACAAGTAAATGTACTTCTTGCTTTGAGTTTTTTAACAAAGCTTTTTTACCTTTTATCTAGGTTAAGTTAATATTTATAGTGAAAGTTTATATGTTCTTGCAAGTTGCTATAGACTTGAAGGATATTTAACTTTATGGGACTCATTTAACTCCGTGATTTACAATTGTTTTCGATTATGTAGGGATTTTGCATTTAAAACCCACACCTTTTTTTTTCAAAGGTTCACAAAAAAATGGCAATACTGTTATTTTTAGATTATGTCTTGCAAGATTTTATGAAGACAGAAGTACGCCCTGAAATTTACTTTTAAAATAATGATGTTATGAAGGTTATTTCGACAGAACTTCCCTAGCTTGAATTTTTCGAGTTTTTATTTTTCCGATTGTTTCTTTTTTCAATGTATAATTTTTTGTTTTTTCAATTTTTCGATTCGCAATTTTTCCATTTGCAGTTTTTTGTGTCGGTTTGTTTTCTTTATTATTTTCAATTTTCGGTTTTTCAGTGTTTTTATCGTTTTCCTTTTTTCCAATGTGAAAATTTCAAATTTTTGGATTTTCCGATTTTTCGGTTTACAATTTTTCGATTTTTCTATTAAATTTTTTAATTTTTCTTTTTTCCAATTTTATATTTTTCATTTTAAATATGTAATTAAAATTTTAAAAATGGTTCACTTTTTCAATTGTACGACTTTGGAATTTTTCCATTATTCAGTTTTTCGAATTTACAATTTTTGGGTTTTCCAGTTGTTCACTTTTTCAATTTTACGTTTTTCGAATTTACAATTTTTCGGTTTTTCAAATTTTCTTTCCAGTTCTTCTTGTTGTTAATTTTTTTAGATTTTTAAGTTTTCCGATTTTTACTCTTTCAATGTTTCAAATTTTCGTTTTTTCAATTCTTCGATTTTTCAAATTTCCGGTTGTTCAATGTTCTGATTTTATAATGTTTCTTTTTTCCATTGTGAACATTTTAAATTTTTAGATTTTTTAATTTTTCGGTTTTCAATTTTTCGATTTTTCTAGTATTAGATTTTTTTACTTTTCTTTTTCAGTTTCTCGATTTTGCAATTTTTCATTTCTTTAATTTTTTATTTCTTCAATTTTCGATTTACAATTTTTCTAGTTTTTATTTTAAATATGTATTAATAAAAATAAACATTTTTCAGATTTTCAATTTTAGGATTTTTCCATTTTTCAATTATTGGATTTTAAAGCTTTTTCATTTATTCAGTTTTTCGAATTTACAATTTTTGGGTTTTCCAGTTTTTCATTCTCCAATTTTAGATTTGCAGTTTTTCTAGTTTTCATTTTAAAGATGTATTAATAATTTTAATAACTAACACTTTTTCAATTTTACGATTTTAGAATTTTTCCATTATTAGATTTTAAAGCTTTTTCATTTATTCAATTTTTCGGTTTTTCAGGTTTTCTTTCCAATTTTTCAAGTTATTATTTTTTTTAGATTTTTAAGTTTCCCGATTTTTAGTTTTTCAATGTTTCGAAGTGTCGTTTTTTCAGATCTTCAATTTTCCACTTTTTCGATTTTGCAATTTTTCGTTTTTCTTTCAGTTTTTCGATTTTTCAAATTTCCGGTTTTCAATGTTCTGATTTTAAAATGTTTCTTTTTCCCAATGTGAACATTTTAAATTTTTAGATTTTTTAATTTTTCGGTTTTAATTTTTTCGATTTTTCTACCATTAGATTTTTTTATTTTTCTTTTTTCAATTTCTCGATTTTTCAATTTTTCATTTCTTTAATTTTTTATTTCTTCAATTTTCAATTTGCAATTTTTCTAGTTTTTATTTTAAATATGTATTTATAAAATGAAACATTTTCAGTTTTTCAATTTTAGGATTTTTCCATTATTCAATGATTGGATTTTAAAGCTTTTTCATTTATTCAATTTTCGAATTTACAATTTTTGGGTTTTCCAGCTTTTCTTTCCAATTGTTGTTTATTAATTTTTTTTGACTTCAACTTTTCTCGACTTTTAGTTTTTCAATGTTTCAATTTTTCGCTTTTCCAGTTTTCGGATTTTATGATGTTTCCTTTTTTCGATTGTGCAAATTTTAAACTTAGACTTTTCAATTTTTCGATTTTTCTATTAGATTTTTAATTTTTCGTTTTGTTCAATTTTAGACTTTTCATTTTGAATATGTATTAATAATTTTAAAAATAGTTCATTTTTTCAAATTTACGATTTTTGGGTTTTCCAGTTTTTCGTTTTCGCGTTTTTTTTTTCTTTGCAAGTTTCCTATGTATTAATTTTTTTCGATTTTTAGATTTCCCAATTTTTAATTTTTCAGTGTTTCGAATTTTCGTTTCTTCAGTTCTTGTATTTTCCACTTTTTCCATTTTGGAATTTTTTGTTTTTCTTCCAGTTTTTCGATTTTTCAATTTCTCCCTTTTTCAGTGTTCTGATTTCATAACGTTTCTTTTTTTCCAATGTGAGGATTTTAAATTTTCGAATTTTTTTTTTCAATTTTTAGATTTTTCATATAAATATGAATTTATACTTTTAAAAATTGTTCATTTTTTCATTTTTAAGTTTCCCGATTTTTAATTTTACAATGTTTCGAATTTTCGTTTCTTCAGTTCTTCGATTTTTCAATTTTTCCGTTTTCAATGTTCTGATTTTATAATATTTTTCCACTGTGAAAATTTAAAATTATGGATTTTTCAATTTTTCGGTTTTCAATTTTTTATTTCTTCAATTTTCGATTTGCAATTGTTCTAGTTTTTATTTTAAATATTTATTAATGTTAAAAAAATGTTCACTTTTTCAATTTTAGGATTTTTCCATTTTTTCAATTATTGGATTTTAAAGCTTTTTCATTTATTAAATTTTCGAATTTACAATTTTTTAGTTTTCAAGCTTTTCTTTCCAATTTTTATATTTATTAATTTTTTTCGGATTTTAAGTTTCTTGATTTTTAGTTTTTCAATGTTTCGAATTTTCGTTTCTTCAGTTCTCGATTTGTAGTTTTTCGATTTTCCACTTTCTCAATTTTGCAATTTTGCTTTTTTTCAGTTTTTCGATTTTTTTTGTTTTTTCGACTCTTTAATTTTCGATTTTTCATTTTTTCGGCTTTCCAATGTTCGAATTTTATGATGTTTCTTTTTTCCAGTGTGAAAATTTTAAACTTTTCAATTTTTCGATTTTTCTATTAGATTTTTAATTTTTTATTTTTTTTTCAATTTTTCAAATTTACAATTTTTGGGTTGTCCAGTTTTTCGTTTTCGCGTTTTTTTTTTCAAGTTTTCTTTTTTAGTTTTTCAATGTTTCGAATTTTCGTTTCTTCAGTTCTTCGATTTTCCACTTTTCGATTTTGCAAAATTTCGTTTTCCTTTCAGTCTTTCGCTTTTGCAATTTTTCAATGTTCTGATTTTATAATTTTCTCTTTTCCGATGTGAAAATTTTAAATTTTTGGATTTTTCAATTTTTCGATTTTTCTATTCAATTTTTTTAAGTTTTCGTTTTTTCAATTTCTCGATTTTTTAATTTTTCATTTCTGGAATTTTCGATTTGCAGTTTGTCGAGTTTTTATTTTAAATATGTATTAATAATTTTAAAAATTGTTCACTTTTTCAATTTTACGATTTTAGAATTTTTCCATTTTTCAATTTTTTGGATTTTCAAACTTTTTCATTTATTCAGTTTTTCGAGTTTACAATTTTTGCCAATTTTTATAGTTATTAATTTTTTTCGACTTTTAAGTTTCTGGATTTTTAGATTTTCAATGTTTCAAATTTTCATTTCTTCAGTTCTTCGATTTTGCAATTTTCCGTTTTTTAAAGTTTTTCGATTTTTCAATTTTTTCCACTTTTTAGTTTTTCGATTTTTCAATTGTTCGGTTTTGTAGTGTTCTGATCTTATGTTTGTTTTTTCCAATGTGAAAGTTTTAAATTTTTGGATTTTTCAGTTTTTCGGTTTTCGATTCTTCTGAGATTTTTTAATTTTTCGTGTTTTCAATTTTAGGATTTTAGAATATTTGCATTTTTCAGTTGTTCGATTTTAAAGCCTTCTCATTTATTCCATTTTTCGAATTTGCAATTTTTGGGTTTTCCAGTTTTTCGTTTTCGCGTTTATTACTTTCCAATTTTTCGTTTTTTTCAGAGTTTCAATTTTTCGATTTTTCAACTTTTCGAATTCAAAAATGGAAAAACAAAAAAATATAAACTGATGAAAAAAGTACAAAATCTAAAAAACGAAATATTGAAAATTAAAAAAATCGGAAAATCGGATAATTAAGGAATCAAAAAACTTCAATATTAAACAAATTAAAAATTAGTAAACCGACGAATTGAAAAATCAAAAATCGAAAATTTTAAAAGTTGAATAAACAAAAAATTATACAATCGAGAAATTAAAAATTAAAAAATCAGGAAAGTGAAAAATAAAAATCAGGAACTTGAAACTTGGGGAAACAAAAAATTGCAAAATCGGAGTATTGAAGATTAAAGAAATCGAAAAATCGGATAATAATCCAAAAATTGCAAAATTAAAAAATCAAGTTGAATAATAAAAATTGAAAAATCATAAAATCGAAAGAAACTTTGAAAAATCGACAAATTAGAGATTTAAAAACCGAGAAAAATAAAAATTATAAATTAAAAACTTGAAAAATTGTAGAAACCAAAAATCGATAAAACGAAAAATTGTAAAATTTTAACAATTAAAGTTGAAAAAACGCTAACAATTTTCGTAGTAATTACAATTATTATAATTATTAAGTGTCAAATTAAAAATTCAACATTCCGCCATTTTTAAAGATGGAAGTCAATATTTCTGCGGTGAATCTGACGAATTTTTAATTTCGTACAAAAGTTTCGTTTTAAATTATGGATCTAAATGAGTTCTATCAGACTGCGTTACAATATTTACACAATATATATCATTTTTTTAATCATATGCTTTGGCTGTCATCATTTCAGGACGAAGAAGACGAGGAAGAGGACGACATGGATGGAAGCGACGATGAAGGTTCGGACAATGATGGTAAATATAAACTATGTTTATAATAATATAATGTTTGGCAGTTATGGATTTCCTAGATCCTCTCGTCATCAACCTGGGCGGCGACAATGAAAACAACGACAATAACGCCAATAACGAGGAGGATAACGACGACGACGACGATAATTTATTGGATAGTGAATCTGAAAGTTGGACTAGTTTGTCTAGTGACTCCGATGACTCTTTCGTGGATGATGTATTTGATCTTTGAAACCTTGAACATGTTAAGCTAAGATTTAAATGTGATAGATTTTCGAAAATAGAGTGTGTGAGGAGTGCATACATTCTTTTAATAATACCGGAAACCAAACAATTTATATTGCATTTGTTATGAGCCATGATTTTCAGTAAACTCGATCCAGTAGGAATTATTTTGAATGATTGTCGTGTGCGGTCTTATGTGTATCATTTTAAAGTTAATGTTGACCAGTTGTGTATTATATTTCATAAATAAATGCGATTTTAAGAAGAGGTGTGCAGTTTGATGAAAACGTGATCAAAGGTGACTCCGGAAACAACCTGTTACGGTGTCACGTGTGCGAAAAGTGAGGTTAAGGTTGCTGTGACGTAGCGCGTCCGCTTTTTATTGACGCTATTTTTATCCATTTCTTCATTTCCGGGATATTAAGCAATTCATGTAAATGAGATTCTACGAGAAACAGGTTAACAAGTTTATCTTCTCAAGTTCCCGGAATAAATTACCAAAGTATTCAACGCACGTCCGCTAACGGACTCCTATATAACACGCTGAAACGTCCACCAAACTGATAGCGTGGAAATGAATTTTTTACTGTTTTGACAAATTGCATTCTTATTTATGAGCTGCGAATACATTACACGCCAGTCACTCATCGCAGTAAGGACGACGACCGCTTAATTCCCAGACCATATGAGCTGACTCCGCTGTGATTTATCAACCTTCTTAATAAGTCAAGTTCAAACGGCTATTTCGAGAAATAAAATTTATTACTCCGGTTAGGACATCTGAATTAATTCAAAAATATTAGCAGTGTATAAAAGTGTTAAAGTCTGCAATACTGTATTCTCGTGGCTAAGTCGTGTACACCTAAAGTCAAGAATAGTGGTCCATGACGTAGTAGATCCACTTAAGGTAGTTGAAAACTGTGGTGTAGATCCCGTACTTGTTCCGGAGGCCGCAGCCATCGCCGAAGCTGGTGATGCCTTGGATGCTGTAGGCCACTCGGGATCTGCGCTTGAAGGGGCACATGAGGCCGCCCCCGCTGTCACCCGCGCAAGTGTCGGCTTTGCCGGACGGCCATCCGGCGCAGAGCATGTTGGAGGTGATGAGGAAGTGGCGGTATGATCTTCTGCAGACGTTGGGCGAAACGATGGGAAGCTGAAAGATATGACAATGCGGATAAATAGCCTTAAAGGGGGGTCAGTTAAGCTCAACTATGTACAAGTTATCTTTTCAAATAGACCAGAATTGTTAACAGCATTTAGTTTTTTAATAAACAAAAACGTTGAAAATATAAATAATAAGTTGTAAGTAAGATTTCTACTTAGTTTTACTTGGCGGCAAATTTAAATTGAAGAACAAGCTAATAAAAATATGATAGAAGAAAAATACATATCAAGTATTTCGGATTAGTTATTATTAGAAAATTTGACTTCATCACAGTTTAAGTTGTAAGAGCCAAAAATACCATATGATCGAAAAAAAAGTGTTTAGTAAGCCATGAAATTTATTTTTAGAATAATGATCTTGGCATTGCAGCTAACTCAAACAAAGAACGCGTTGGTGTTGCCAATATATTTATTTTTTTTATGTTGCTTCAAGATTTTTTTTATTACACTGACAATGCAAATATCGGACTGACAATATAAAAAAGTCCATGGTTGACCAGACGACGTTTTTCTTTTATCATGTGATAGTTGTCATTATTTTAAAATGCTAAATATTTATGATTTTTTTTCACGAAGCATTACATGTCATCAACACAACAAAGTTAAATATTAATGCCGAGTCAGTAGCTGTTATCGTCTCATTGTTTCATTGTTAGGCGGTCATATCAAAATTTACTACTATGAATTGACACATTAACTTTGTTGCCAATAATTCAGAATTGCCACAACAAAAATATTTGCTTCAATTGCAATTTATCTATAAAATAATGATATTGACATTGCAACTATTTGACAATTATTGACCCTTACATCTATTACTCTATTATTCCATTACTAGCAATAGATCTATGTTTAACCTTACTCAATCCAAACAACGAACGCGTTGGCGTTGCTAACATAATTTTTTTACATTAAATTTCAAAGATAATAAGATCATATGGTATAATTGTTATGATTGTTACCACCCCCGCATTGGCATTTTCAACATAACATCATACGATTGAAAAAAAAGCATCGTCTAGTCAGCCATGGAATTTATTAAAAAAAATTATGATGGGAATATCTACACTGTCACAGCTGTGCATTTTAAGTTATGGGTAACTGTAAAACAATATTATTCCATCACAGTTTCTTTATAACAATTTATAAATTTATTAATTCCATGGTTGACTATACGAACTTAGGTATTTAAATACAATGTTCATATTTTATCATTTTTCGTTCTTTTTTCAATTTTTTAAATTTTCAACTGTTTGATTTTGTAATTTTTCGTTTCTTCAACTTTTGAATTACAATTTTTCTAGTTTTCATTTCAAATGTGCAATTAATAATTATAACTTAAAAATTTTTTCACTTTTTCAATTTTAGGATCTTGCCCTGTTTTTCTTAGGGGATCTGTCATTTGCCAAAATCAGTCTTATCTTACCAAGTACTAGCCCCGCCCACCCGCCCTCTCTTTTCTTAGAGGATATGTCATTAGCCAAAATCACTCTTATTTTACCCAGAAACTAGCTAAGATAAGGCAGATTTTGGCAAATGACATTCTATAAGAAAATAAAGAGTGGGTGGGCGGGGCTAGTATTTGATAAGGTAAGACTGATTTTGACATATTCGACCACTTTTCAACTATTTTTGAAAATTTTTATTTGTGTTTTTTTATTTTATTTCCTTTTGCAATCTTCATATTTTATAATTTTTCGTTTTTTTGTATTTTTTAAGTTTTCAACTTTTAGATATTTTCATTTTTTGTTTCTTCAAATTTTGAATTACAATTTTTCTAGTTTTTATTTCAAATGTGCAATTAAATTATTACTTAAAAAAATTGTTCACTTTTTCAATTATAGGATCTCGTCCTCTATTTTTTTAGAGGATATGTCATTGGCCAAAATCAGTCTTATCTTACCAAGCACTAGCCCCGCCCACCCGCCCTCTCGTTTCTTAGAGGGTATGTCATTTGCCAAAATCAGTCTTATCTTACCCAGAAACTAGCCATAAGATAAGACAGATTTTGGCACATGACATTCTATAAGAAAATAAAGGGCGGGGCTATTACTTGCTGAGATAAGACTGATTTTGGCAAATGACATACCTTGTAAGAAAATAGAGGGTGGGTGGGCGGGGCTAGGATTTGATAGGATAAGACTGATTTTGGCACTTTGACATATTCAACCACTTTTCAACTAATTTTGAAAATTTTTGTTTTTGTTTTTTTATTTTCTTTCTTTTTGCCATTATCATATTTCATAATTTTTAATTTTTTAAATTTTCAACTTTTAGATTTTTCATTTTGTGTTTCTTCAACTTTTGAATTACAATTTTTCTAGTTTTCATTTCAAATGTGCAACTAATAATTATTACTTAAAAAAAATTTTCACTTTTTCAATTTTAGGATCTCGTCCTCTATTTTCTTAGAGGATATGTCATTTGCCAAAATCAGTCTTATCTTACCCAGAAACTAGTCATAAGATAAGACAGATTTTGGCACATGACATTCTATAAGAAAATAAAGGGCGGGGCTATTACTTGCTAAGATAAGACTGATTTTGGCAAATGACATACCTTGTAAGAAAATAGAGGGTGGGTGGGCGGGGCTAGTGTTTGATAAGATAAGACTGATTTTGGCACTTTGACATATTCAACCACTTTTCAACTATTTTTGAAAATTTTTGTTTGTGTTTTTTTATTTTCTTTCTTTTTGCCATCTTCATATTTTATAATTTTTCTTTTCTTTTGAATTTTTTAAATTTTCAACTTTTAGATTTTTTTCATTTTTTGTTTCTTCAACTTTTGAATTAGAATTTTTCTAGTTTTCATTTCAAATGAGCAACTAATAATTATTACTTAAACAATTTTTCACTTTTTCAATTTTAGGATCTCGTCCTCTATTTTCTTAGAGGATATGTCATTTGCCAAAATCAGTCTGATCTTAACAAACACTAGCCCCGCCCACTTGCCCTCTCGTTTCTTAGAGGGTATGTCATTTGCCAAAATCAGTCTTATCTTACCCAGAAACTAGCCATAAGATAAGACAGATTTTGGCACATGACATTCTATAAGAAAATAAAGGGCGGAGCTATTACTTGCTAAGATAAGACTGATTTTGGCAAATGACATACCTTGTAAGAAAATAGAGGGTGGGTGGGCGGGGCTAGTATTTGATAAGATAAGACTGATTTTGGCACTTTGACATATTCAACCACTTTTCAACTAATTTTGAAAATTTTTGTTTTTGTTTTTTTATTTTCTTTCTTTTTGCCATTATCATATTTCATAATTTTTAATTTTTTAAATTTTCAACTTTTAGATTTTTCATTTTGTGTTTCTTCAACTTTTGAATTACAATTTTTCTAGTTTTCATTTCAAATGTGCAACTAATAATTATTACTTAAAAAAAATTTTCACTTTTTCAATTTTAGGATCTCGTCCTCTATTTTCTTAGAGGATATGTCATTTGCCAAAATCAGTCTTATCTTACCCAGAAACTAGTCATAAGATAAGACAGATTTTGGCACATGACATTCTATAAGAAAATAAAGGGCGGGGCTATTACTTGCTAAGATAAGACTGATTTTGGCAAATGACATACCTTGTAAGAAAATAGAGGGTGGGTGGGCGGGGCTAGTGTTTGATAAGATAAGACTGATTTTGGCACTTTGACATATTCAACCACTTTTCAACTATTTTTGAAAATTTTTGTTTGTGTTTTTTTATTTTCTTTCTTTTTGCCATCTTCATATTTTATAATTTTTCTTTTCTTTTGAATTTTTTAAATTTTCAACTTTTAGATTTTTTTCATTTTTTGTTTCTTCAACTTTTGAATTAGAATTTTTCTAGTTTTCATTTCAAATGAGCAACTAATAATTATTACTTAAACAATTTTTCACTTTTTCAATTTTAGGATCTCGTCCTCTATTTTCTTAGAGGATATGTCATTTGCCAAAATCAGTCTGATCTTAACAAACACTAGCCCCGCCCACTTGCCCTCTCGTTTCTTAGAGGGTATGTCATTTGCCAAAATCAGTCTTATCTTACCCAGAAACTAGCCATAAGATAAGACAGATTTTGGCACATGACATTCTATAAGAAAATAAAGGGCGGAGCTATTACTTGCTAAGATAAGACTGATTTTGGCAAATGACATACCTTGTAAGAAAATAGAGGGTGGGTGGGCGGGGCTAGTATTTGATAAGATAAGACTGATTTTGGCACTTTGACATATTCAACCACTTTTCAACTATTTTTGAAAATTTTTGTATATGTTTTTTTATTTTCTTTCTTTTTGCCATCTTCATATTTTATAATTTTTCTTTTCTTCTGAATTTTTTAAATTTTCAACTTTTAGATTTTTTTCATTTTTTGTTTCTTCAACTTTTCAATTACAATTTTTCTAGTTTTCATTTCAAATGTGCAACTAATAATTATTACTTAAACAATTTTTCACTTTTTCAATTTTAGGATCTCGTCCTCTATTTTCTTAGAGGATATGTCATTTGCCAAAATCAGTCTTATCTTACCCAGAAACTAATCATAAGATAAGACAGATTTTGGCACATGACATTCTATAAGAAAATAAAGGGCGGGGCTATTACTTGCTAAGATAAGACTGATTTTGGCAAATGGCATACCTTGTAAGAAAATAGAGGGTGGGTGGGCGGGGCTAATATTTGATAAGATAAGACTGATTTTGGCACTTTGACATATTCAACCACTTTTCAACTATTTTTGAAAATTTTTGTTTGTGTTTTATTATTTTCTTTTTTTTGTCATCTTCATATTTTATAATTTTTCTTTTCTTTTGAATTTTTTAAATTTTGAACTTTTAGATTTTTTTTCAGTTTTTTTTCTTCAACTTTTGAATTGCAGTTTTTCTAGTTTTCATTTCAAATGTGCAACTAATAATTATTACTTAAAATTTTTTTCACTTTTTCAATTTAAGGATCACGTCTTCAATTTTAGGATCTCGTCCTCTATTTTCTTAGAAGATATGTC